TTTATGGAAAATCTGTTTAAGCGGAATAATTTTTACTGGACTTACCACTCTTGCTTTTGAATCGAGATTTCATAACTTTTAATACATTTCTTTTATTAAAATTGAACCAGACAACACATCTGAAAAGATAAACTCTTCCTTTCTTCTTTATGTAATGGAACTTCATCCATGATCTCCATGACCTGATGGTCCACTGGAGTTGTTGTTCTCAAATATAAAATCTTTTTCACAACGGATTTCACTGAATATCCTTAAGCCTAAATCACTAACAAGACCGCGGTAAATTATTTACACAATTTATTAACCACGCCAACAATAATTTTAAATAAAATTCCCGATTAATTCATTGAAACTAATTTCACAAAACACCAAAAAAGTTTTTATGAAATAATTTTTCTTAGCATCAATTCCACGAGATAACTGAACATTCTTCGCATCCAACGAGAACTGATTATTATGTGCATTATTTGCAAATGCAACAGGGAGAGTGCAGAGCTGGTGGTGATCTTGAATTTTTCTTATTCCCGGCACTTTTGCGGCATTGCTCATTAAAACAACGGTTTTTTAACTTCAACTTTTGGATGGCGGTTCGCGGGGTGTTGCTACAGGTAAGTTCGATTTTTGACTATTTTCCTTGCTGATCATTGCAGAAATGTTTACAATGACTTTACTTACAGTGTTGGACATATTGAACGGTAATTGGAATTGATTTGCTTATTTCTGAGTTACTTGTTTTTTATTGTAAAAAAGAGTTTCTGTTTTGTTTGTGTATTTAAGAGAACAGAGCAGAGAGTGCAGGAATCAAAAATAGCACCAAAGATGAGTTGTGAACGTCAACAAAACAATATATTTATAATATTGTGATGAAATTAATTCCAGAAATATGAAATCGTAGCTACACTGAAAAACTGACAAGAATAACAAAAACTAATGTTAGATATTTGTTTCAGAAAAAGTTTTGGTTGGAGTTTAGTGAAGTTTAGTCAGTTAGTTAGATTCGATAAATAAAATTGTCGACAATCCAGAGATACGAATATGAATAGAATAATTATAAAAGGGGCAAATTCGTAACAATATGTATCTGTCATTAAAGAATGGTTAATTAAAAATCAATTCTGATATAGTTTGTTTATGAAAAGACAATTCTCAATAAATTTGATTATACGTAATGTATTGTTGTTGCTACAAACAAACATCGACATTATCAATAAAATAATGCCGATTGACCTTTAGAAGATCAAATTCTCCATAGAAAGAATTTATTATTTGACTTTGTTTCAGCTATATTTTCTTATTTCCTGTTACCATATTTACTATTTTCTGAGAAAAGCATAATAAAATTGTACATTCGCGTATTTCTATATATGTAAGTTCCTATTAGTATATTAATTTATTTTTATATTAAAAATTATAAAAAAAAACTTAAAAACATAATAATCTTATTTAGTTACATATATATGAACAAACCATCTTCAAGAATATTTTTTTATCGAAATTATTTCTAGAACTGATTTTATTGTATATAGTTCCCATAAAATAAAATGAAATAACTTAAGCATATCGAATTAGTTTTATATTAATTATTCTAAACTTGTTCATATGTACTTTTATTTAAGAATATGAGGAACAATCTAAATGTTTTATTTCAAAATTGATCAAATTACGATTGGAACGTTGCAAACAATAGTAACCACTTATAATATTAACTAACATAAGTGTAAGGAATGATGTATTGGTAGCTTCCCAGCATACTTTACCGATACTTCGTGATTAATAAAAATAAATGTTCTGAGCCATTCAATAATTGGCAAAAACTAACTATAATTGTTTAACAGGCGTTAAGAAAGAAGAGCAATAAAATCTAGAATTTCTTCTTTAACAACAAAATACACTAACACGAGATAGATATATAATTACTATAACTTCCATGTGTGAAGTCGTACCCAATCATATTTGAGCTCTAATTAATATAATTTTCTTTAAAAATGCACTTACCCTACATAAATTCAAACATACAATGACAGATACAAACTTATAGATCTCTAATTTCAGAACAGAAATAAGGAATAAAAATATGTGTTTATGGTAGAAATGTTATTAAAGTTACTGATTCCCTAGTCTTTTATAATTTATTTATAATATTCTTAATATTATATGACTGAGCTAAGTCTTAGGTGGAAGAAATGAGTAAACTATACATCATACATTTTATTGTATATTACAGTAAAGAATCAAATGTAGGAAGGCAAGTGTATAGTTTATACTTGCTTAACAAGGAATATTTAAGAGTTATAGATTTTCTTGTATATAGAACTGCCGCTCAATGAATATTTCTTAAAGAAATAGAGACGTACTTGAACAACTATAAAACTTAATGTATGTCGATCTTTAAAAATATTTTCGAAGAAATGGATGAAATGGCTTCAAAGAAGTTTTACATACACATCATCATTACTGGATGCATCCACTATTTTCAAGTAAAATCGGAGTTGCTTCTTGTATGACATTCAGTTTCACTTTACAGCCCGCATACAAGTTACATGGTTGCTATAAGGACAACCTCTTCAAAGATTATTGGAAAAATTAGTTGTACTCCAAATATTGATTCGATTACTCAAATTTGATGAGGTTTTCCAATAACCAATCGCTTTATAGAAAATTATGAATACAAAATATTTATTCTCTTTAAACTCACTAAGTTTCAATTTTATGGTACTTATTTGATCAATAGTAAAACATTTCAATTTTCTTATATTCATACATACCATGTTCATACGAAAATTTCTGGGTTTTAACAATTAAAATAGTGTATACTATAAAAACATATATCTGGTAACAAATTCTGATATCCTGGATCCTGCATCAATTGAATTCCAGAAATTTTAGAAGTATTTTTGGAAATGAAGATGATCACAATGAAAAGGAACAAGTGTTCTCAAAAACAGAAATTTTAAATATAAAAAATTCATTGATGAATGGTTATTCATAAATCAAATCTGATATTGCTTGTTTATGAAAAGACAGTTCTCCATAAATATGATTACAAGTAATTGATTGTTATTGCTACAAATAAATAACGATATTATCAGTAAAATAATACCGAATAAGTCTTAGAAGATCAAATTCTCCATAGAAAAATTTTATTGTTCGACTTTGCCACAGCTATATTTTCTTATCTCCTGTTGCTATATCTGCTAATTTCTGATAAAAGCATGCAGTTGTACATTTGCGTATATTTATAAATACGTGCCTATTAGTATTATAGGTATAATTTTTTATTAATAAATTTTTTATCACCAAGTGATCGATGTACACATATAAGAAACTAACTGTCTTATATTAACGACCTGACACTGAATGTTAAAACTTAGTTATTAAATACCAGGATATTAAAATGTATTTCACCTAAAATAGTTTGAGTAAAAAATTGGTGAGGATTATAGCTATAGACCTAATTTTTCACTTCTTTATACATACAGTTATAAATACACTACTGTTACATAATAAAACTACGCTATACAAAAGAAATTCAATTCCTGTTATAAAATAATTTGTAAAAATGCTATGGCCTCTGACGCATTAGTGACTGATCATAAGAACCTACACTGTCAAAAATAGGTATGTCTTTTGCAATTCTAGTATTTAGTACAATATCGCTTATTCTGACATCTTCATCACAAATACTAGAAGACGAAATAGTGGACCAAGAGTGTTCATCCTCGTGTTTAACTCTAGTCATCGGCTTCTTATCGGCTTCACATGGGCATTCGTATTCAGGATTGATTATAGCCAATTCCATTCTATTTAATCTAAGTATTTTTTCACAGTCCTCCTCGTCAGGTATCACCAACTCCAAATCATCACTTACACGACATTGTTTTAAAATCGACTTAACTTCTCTGCGGTCACATACGAAACGATGAAAAGTTAAAGGTTGTTTTCTATTTACTATGAAACCAGTTTCGCGATTAAAAAATCCTTCACCAGCATCAATTGTATCATCAGGTAATATTTTTGCGTCTTCCGTTACTGTAAGTAAAGGGTTTGGTGCAATTGGTTGTGGACCATCAAGTAGTTCCCTGGGGTATAGGCGATTATTACGAGATAAATATTTCCAGTTACCAGTGATAATGTCATGCTTCCGAACATGGCAGTTGAAACGTAATCCATCTTCAAATTCCATTTCTTCAATCTTTATAAGGCGACCGAAATCAAATATTACCTTGAATTTCATTTTATAGGGAGCGGCAAGATAGTACTCACCAACACCGTGAAAGACACCCCTTCGAAAATGCCCTTGATAAGTGCTTCCATCTGGAAACGTATAATAACCATAACCATCCATGTCATTGGTAGCGGTATTATAAATGCCTTGATAGTAACTGCCTGTAATGAAACCTTTGTTTTGTTCCATTTTGCTGGAGAATTGGTAAATTTCCGATATTTATAATAAATTAGATACAAAATATATATATCGATGAAAGATTTAAAATTTTAATTTTTGTGTAATGATTTTTATAAGAGATAAATAAAATGAAATTCAGTGGTAATATGATATTATTTTTGTATTAATTCATTTTAAAAAACCTATGTTATTGATGAGTTCCAGAAATTATTTATCGGAAAAGACGACGACATTTGGCATTTGATTACATTATTGATGCATTTTCTTCTGAATAGGAGGTTGCGCATAATTTCTTGAATGAATTCAATAGTTCCATCTCTCAATTAGATATCTATTAGATATGAGATGTATTATTAAATACGCACATAAATTGTAAATGTTTTGCTTAGAATATGTGAGGAACAATGTGAAACAAAAGTTTAAGCTCTGTAATTGACCATTACTGATATATGCTATTAGTCCAGATATAAAATAAGGTTGACTTGGTAAACAAAAATGATCTTTTTCTTTCCAACCAATTTTCACATCATATTATCACTGAATTACATTTCATTCAAATTCATATATTGTATTAATTGTTATTAAGAACGTTGTATAAAAAATATGTATTTGTCTTATCAAAAATCGACAACATTTAGGAATTGAAATATTTTTTTTTTTTTGAATGTTTCCGTCTTATTTAATTTATTTTAAATATTTGTCGCTAAACAACTCATAGCCAAAATGAACGAAAACCGAAGTTTCATCACCGGCAGTTACTATGAAGGTATTTACAATACCACTACTAATAATATGGAATATTATGGACGTTACACATTCCCAGATGGAAGTACTTACCTAGGGTATTTTCATAGGGGCGTCTTTCACGGTTCTGGAATATTCGAACTATCCGCTCCCTATAAAATAAAATTCAAGGTAATATTTGATTTAGGTCGCCTTGTAAACGTTGAAAAATTTGTATTTCCCGATGGATTGTGTTTTAAGCGCAATATTAAGAAATGCGGCGTTGCCCTCAATGACTGGGCATATTTAACTCGTAGTAATCGTCTATACCCTAGTGAATTACTTACAGGTGCACAACCGGTTGGACCTAATTCTTTACTTACATTAACAGAAGATCCAGAAATAATACCTGATGAAAAAATTGATGCTGGTGAAGGATTTTATAATCCACAATCTCGTTTTATAGTAGATAGAAAAACACCTTTAGTTCATAACCGCTTCGTATGTGACCCTAAAGAAGTAAAGTGGATTGAAAAACAGTGTCGTGTAAGTGATGATTTGGAGTTGGTACTACCTGATGAGGAGGACTGTGAAAAAATACTTAGATTAAATAGAAGGGAACTGGCTATAATCAATTCGGAATATGAATGCCCATGTGAAGCCGATAAGAAGCCGATGACTAGAGTTAAACACGAGGATGAACACTCTTGGTCTACTATTTCGCCTTCTAGTATTTGTGATGAAGATGTCAGAATTAGTGATATTATGTCGAAATCTAAGTTTAGACAATTCATGAGCAAGTTCAGTGTTATGGATGTTAGTAGCCATTCATTAATAGATCAGTTAATGTAGTAGACAATTATATATTAAAATCTATTTTGTAATGGACATTGAATATATTTTATAAAAAAACAAATTTATATTGATAATAAATGGAGCAAAATTTCTTACTATTTTTACTAACCATTTTCATCACATAGTATCGGTATTCACAAATTTTTCCTTTCTCCTATATTTAAATTCTAAGAAAATTTATATCTTGCGTTTGCAGTGAGCTGTCAGTTAGAAGCAGAGCGAGAACTATTACAACAGATTTTAGATGTATGTATTAAAAAGTTGTATGAATCTGTACTATCTTCTCTGGTCTCCAATTCCAGGGGCTTGTATTATTGATTGTTTATTCACATTTATATGCTTATGAGGATTAGAATTTTACACTCGAAAACACTAAGTATTTAATTAATTTCTTCCCCTTCATAGCACAGTGTTGTTCATTTTTTACTAAAACATCAATATTTTAAAGTAACCGTGACGTCCTGAAATCATTATTCACCCTCAGCCGTTTCTATTGAAATCTGTTACTTATAGATATCTAAATGGAAATGTTGAAAATACAATTTCATTGATATGTTGGTTTCATTGCATTAGCGATGACATATTTCAACAATATCTGAACGAGTCAGTATTTCAATATCTATCAACATATATATCAATGTGTATATCAATATCAATATCAATATTTATATTTTGAGCCTTGGCAACACTGATTGTTATCAGATGTCGTCTGACGTTTCCACACATACGAAAGTTTGACATTATTTAACATAACCTACCTTAGACTTTTTGTCAAAAGAACGTTATTTGTGTTATTACAGTGATTATTTACAATGTAAATTGAGTGTTTGCTAAAAAATGAAATTAATGTGAGAAAGTTTTCGTGCGATGATTTATTATGACTTTCTACGTAACTTATCAACACAAGAGTATATCAATCAACTTACTTCCACATTTGGCGATGGAGCTCCATCCTTTGCCACTGTGAAACGCTGGAATTTGTATAATGATTTTAATCGTGGCCGCAGTTCGTTCATTGAAGAAATTCGTCAGTCAGTGAAGGTCGTCCAAAATCAGTTGTTCAGTTGTTGTGCCAAAAAACATTGATGCTGTGCAAAAACTGAAAACGAAAGTAGCATACTCAATCAAGACAATGGGAGTGATCAATCATTTCGTCTAACAACCGTCTATTTGAACATTCAAAAATGAACTTAATGGGTTATCAAGTTGATGACCTGATTTCGTACTGATTTCGGTTCCGATTTGGCATCCAATGATTTCTTTTTGTTCCGGAACGTCAAGAATAAATTGCGTTGACAACGATTTTTGTGGACAACGGCGAAAGAAGCCGTTGTGTTGTTTTCACATCATTATATTTTAATGTACATATCTATTAACCATTATATATTAACACAAACGCTCTAAATAAGAACAACTACATATTCTTTACTAGTATATTGTTTAAGAAATTCAGTTAGCTAGTCACAATTTTTGGTATCCTGGTATTCAATTATCGAATTTTAATAGTCTATTTCTACTTTCTAATTAGCAACTATTGCCCTGATCATGAAAAAGAATAAAACATACTATTGATAAACTATACTCGTTTGTATGTGTGAAATTATATTTTTAAATTTAAGGACTGCTGAAGTAAATCCAAGTTTTAACTGTCAAGTTTTAAGTCCATTATAATATAGTAAATTAGATAAGCCCCCAGCCATTATAGAGTAAAAGTGCGTAATAGCACTAACTCAAGAAGAAGAAGAAGAAGAATATAGTTAATGTTTACTATATTTCTATTTACATATGAATGTATTTTTTCTTTTGTTAAAATATTTAATTTAATATTTGTGCGTAATGGGAAAAAAAATATTCCAACGCTATTCGAAACTGTTCTTTACTTTAAAGTTTTATTCCTGGAATATCTTGTGAAAATAGGAATATCAGTACATTGTACGCCAAGGTGCAATATGAGTTCCCAAATAGCATGGGCAGAAATGCATTTAGCACTAGTTACGTTATTTTGAAAGAATGGAACCTAATATATTTAATAAAACATGAAATTCATGAATAGAATCAAGACTTTAAGAGTGGCCATTACAACAAAATGGGGTTATCTTGTGTATTTAAGCTGTTTGGCTGTATGGCTGTACGTTTAAAAGTCATTTAAGTAATGATGCCAAATTGTTAACTATGTTTCAAATTATGTATTTATATATGTATGACTGTTTCTGTGTAGAATTATATATCCTTCCGAGCAAGTCAACAATCAGAACATATTTTACCCCTGTTGTAACCATTGTAAAATGACGTTGAGCACATTGTTATCACTTGCAGTAAAGTATCTACATATGTAGATATACTGAACATGTCCTTATGTATACGTGTATGTAGATATAAATATTGAAGAAATCGATTAATCTTAGAAATAAAGAACAAAACATTTGTCAATCCTAATGTAATTTATTTCAGGAAAATATAACAGTCGATATATATTATATATATATATATACATATATTTTTTTTTTTTTTTTTGCAGTAGGTGGAAAGCTTCGAAAGCCACAGTGTGAGACTTGAACCCACTAAAACCACCTCTTAGGAATGAATGAAGAAGATTTCCACAGCAATGTGGAAACTTCATTCCAGTAATCATGGGACAGAGGAATGAGAAAATAGACTTAATACCTAGTGAACTAGATTCATCTAAGTCAGAAAGCAAGGGCATAAACTAGGTAGGATGGATGATATAGAAGGGGGAGGGGTTACGGCTAACTAGCGGGGATGGAATCAACAATATACTTTGTGACTGGGGTCACGAAATCCGCGGTTATATAAGAGGATAGTGGAGAGGTTACGGTCCACTTCGTCGAAGTAGTGAGTCAGGTATTGGGGGGGTTTATAGCGCAAAGCTAGAACAAAGTCTTCTGAGAGAGTGGAAGGAATGGAAACGTCGGGGGGAAGGTCATGGAGCCGGGTGAGATACCTACGGGCGAGTGACAGAAGATACTCTTCAACACGAGTGATCTTGGCATTGTTATAGAGAGTTGATATGGAAAAGTGTTTGCCATTAGGCTTGCGCTTATAATTAGTGCAATCGCGAAGAAGTTAATATATACATATATATATATACATATATGTATATTAAATATTAATAAAATATGTAGATACATACATATATATATCAAATTGTCTTAAATAAGAAATTTTTATTTTTTTATTACAAGAACAATAAATTCTCACATATTGTTTTGTTGACATTCACAACTCATCTTCGGTGCTATTTTTGATTCCTGCACTCTCTGCTCTGTTCTCTTAAAATCACAAACAAAACAGAAACTCTTTTTTACAATAAAAAACAAGTAACTCAGAAATAAGCAAATCAATTCCAATTACCGTTCAATATGTCCAACACTGTAAGTAAAGTCATTGTAAACATTTCTGCAATGAAAATAAGCAAGGAAAATAGTCAAAAATCGAACTTACCTTTAGCAACACCCCGCGAACCGCCATCCAAAAGTTGAAGTTAAAAAACCGTTGTTTTAATGAGCAATGCCGCAAAAGTGCCGGGAATAAGAAAAATTCAAGATCACCACCAGCTCTGCACTCCCCCCGTTGCATTTGCAAATAATGCACATAATAATCAGTTCTCGTTGGATGCGAAGAATGTTCAGTTATCTCGTGGAATTGATGCTAAGAAAAATTATTTCATAAAAACTTTTTTGGTGTTTTGTGAAATTAGTTTCAATGAATTAATCGGGAATTTTATTTAAAATTATTATTGGCGTGGTTAATAAATTGTGTAAATAATATACCGCGGTCTTGTTAGTGATTTAGGCTTAAGGATATTCAGTGAAATCCGTTGTGAAAAAGATTTTATATTTGAGAACAACAACTCCAGTGGACCATCAGGTCATGGAGATCATGGATGAAGTTCCATTACATAAAGAAGAAAGGAAGAGTTCATCTTTTCAGATGTGTTGTCTGGTTCAATTTTAATAAAAGAAATGTATTAAAAGTTATGAAATCTCGATTCAAAAGCAAGAGTGGTAAGTCCAGTAAAAATTATTCCGCTTAAACAGATTTTCCATAAAAACAGAAAAACATTATTTGAGTTACCATTTCTATTTAATATTTTTCAACTCAGTTTAATTTATAGTAAAAATTATAAAAAAAACTTAAGAAATATATTGTGTATCAAAGAGTCCAAATTAAAGACACTATAATCTCTAGAGTCTTATGACTAATTTATATATGAACCTATTTTATTCTAAGTAATTATGCATTTGTTGTGTCAAAATTATAAATATACAAAATAAAAATGTTACAAGCTGAATACTGACTAATTCAATGAAAAACACAATTTATCGATATCAGAAAGCACAGACCTTAGGAGTCCTATAAGGTACTGGTAAAGGTTATACCTAAAACATCGAACTAGAAAACTATTTTCATATTAGATATTAACAAAATATTATAATGAACAGAAAAATATGAATAAAAAATTGCTTTGTTTTT